GACTGGAACCTGAGGACAGCGGAAAACACACATGGCACAGGCACACACATGCATGCACACACAGACATATGCAGGCACACATACCCAGGCATGTATACACGTGTACACACACGCACACAGGTATGTACACGCGACACCCACACATGGGCGCACACACGTGTGCCACCCTAGTTTCATGGCGGGAGGGGTGTGAGGACCCAGGGTCTGCTCTGGCTGCATCAGCTCAGGGGTGGCCTCACGGAGGAAGAGGTGCTCTTTGTCTACATGGAGGCAGCGGGGAGCACAGAGGGGTTATTCCAGGACAATGTGAAAACATACAAATAATTTATGTCGCCATGTCTGTCACGGGTTGTTGTGCATAATGAATTCACACCCAGTTTCCTGGGGCTAGAGGTGGCAGGAGGCAGAGCCCCCTGACAGCAGGCAGGAGCCGGGCCTGGAGGAGCCCCACGCATCGTGGGAAATGGGGGAGCAGGTGCCACTGGGTCCTGGGGCCAGGCCGCCTCCTGAGGCCGCTCGGCTGCCCACTGCTACCGTCCCTGGAGGTCACGGCTGGGCTGGCTGATGGCTTTCTGTGTAAACGTTCACACGCCTCTCAGCCAGGCTGGTGAGAGTGGGGCCCGTGCTCACAGTGGGTGCGGCCAGCGTGCGGCTGATGGGGAGATGGCCATGGACGTTTCAGACCCACCCTGCAGCGCCAGGGCTCCTGAGAGTCTCCAGGCAGACCACGGAGCAGGGGGGGCAGGACCCACTGCCCATGGGGTTCCCGTGGCCTCTCCTATTTTCCGCCCGCGTCCATCTTCCTGGGCTCCAGGGCTGTGCTGCTCCCCCCTTCTCCAGGTGTCTGTCCCCTCCACAGCCCTGCCTGTGGGGGGACACTAGGAAAGGGCCCTGTGTCCAGCTCACAGGGTGCTGGCCCTTTCTGCATCGTGTCCACATGGGCTTCCACACTTGGGAGCAAACCCAGCCCATGCTGGGCCTTGGGGTTCAGGCACATGCCCTGCCCCCCTCTGCCGGGGCTGCTCACATCAGCTGGCTAGTCTCCGCCCCGTCCCTGCTGGGTGGCAAGTGACGGGGTTGGATGGGTCGGGGGGGGGGGGGGGGTGGAGGAACTCAGCCCCCGACCTGGCGGCTTAGGACGCACAGTAGTGAGTACCCAGGCGCCCTCCTGTGAGGCCCCTCCTGCTGCAGACTGTGTGGGGGCGCTGGCTCCTGGCCCGCACCAGCCGCCCCAGCACCAGCCGCCATCCCAGGCGCAGTGCGGCCACACACCGAGCCACAGCAACCTGCCAGAGGCCCGTGTGGCACAGTTGCCAGCAGGCCTGGGCATGCTGCCCGCTGGGGCGGGGGAGGGGCCAGCCAGGAGCTGCTGAATCAGCGGCACCGTCTGTCCCTGTGTGTCCCTGCCCCTCCCAGGGAGGATGCAGGATGCTGGTGAGGAAGGAGCTCCTCCTGCTTCTCTTTGGGGAGCTGCTGGGAGGCCTGCCAGCGTGCGGGGGGGAGGGGGGGACTGGACGGTGTTCCTGCAGCCAGTGCCCCTGAGTGGAGCCTGGTGCAGGGGGGGCGGGCAATCCTGGGGGCGGGGCAGAGGCTAGTGGAGAGGCCCTTTCAAAAGGCACCAACAGGGAGACAGAACAGGCCTCTGCAGATGGAAGCACGTTCCCTCCCACAAAGTGCCGAGTCAGCACAGCCCCTGCCATCCTCTCCCCTCCTCCAATCACAGGCTGGACGCGGGGACGCTCAAGGTCAGGGCACATCAATACCGTGGGCGCCCTGTCCTCCGCAGGGACACGGTCACACTCCAGGCCACCAGCCTCCTGAGGGTGGGGCTGTCCCTCTCCCAGGCTGTCCAGCGGCTGCCACCACCTGGGGGGCCAGGGAGGTGGGGGGCATAGGAGCCTGGACAGCACCCAGACTTTCTTAAATGAGCCTGTGGTTTCTAGAAACTTCCAAAGCATCACCCCATTCTGTGCCACCCCCAGACCCTCACCCCGGCTGCTCATTTCCATCACCGGCCGGCGGCTGGGCTGGCTCAGCTCCTCCCGCCCAGGCACCGCCAGTACCTCGCCCCGGGGAGCCCACCTCAGCTCTCGGACTCTGTTCAAGGGACAACTGCTCTCTCCTCCCTGTCCCTTCTCTGCCCAGCCCTGACCTCCGACCCCCAGCCCTGACCTCCCTCCCATCTTGAGGTCAGGATGCCTCCTGTTTTCCTGCCCAGCAACTGCCCTCCCAACGTGAGATCTTCCTTCTGGGCCTCTCGGCTCCTGTGCCTGACCCCCTCAGCCGCGGCACCTGCTCTCCCTCGGGGCTGCTCCTGCCACAGCCACTGCTCTCCCTGGGGCCCCGTGGTGTGGCCCGTGCTGCCCACCCTCCGCCCTCCAGGTTGAAGACAGGGCTTCAGTGCACAGCTCCCCACGACCCCAAATCAACAGCCCGTGGTCTCCAGCCACCCGCCTGCAGGTGCTGCCTCCACCAGGTGGCAATGCCAACTCCGGTTGCCTGGGCACTCCTGGGCCTTGGAGTCCCCATCGTCACCTGCCTGCCTGTCCTGCTGTGCACTGGGCAGGTGGTCCTCCTTACCCTCCCAGGTACCGGATCTCCTGACCACTTCTCTACCTCAGTGCAGTGGGCCCTTGGGGATGAGGAGGGAGCAGCAGCTGAGGCCTGGAGGCTCTGCCAGGATCAGTCCTGCCCCAGTCCTGCAGGTGCTGGTACCTAATTCTAGGATCAGAAAGCTTCCAGAAGCTCTGACCACACAGGTCATTTGCTGCTCCAAGGCCTGCAGGCTGAGTCTCCCCCTCTAGCAGAGCTACCCTGCCCCTATGCCTTGAGAGCCCATCCCTTCTCTGGCAGAGCCCTAGCCGGCACCGAGAGCAGCGTAGAGACCAGGCTCTGTGTGGCGCCTTTGGAAGTGGTGACTGTGGTGCAGGGGCCGAGGCGGATTCAGCCCAGAGGACAGGAGGGGCTTGTGCACACCACACACGACCTGTCATCGAGGGAGGTGACCTGAGCCAGCGGGGCCCAGTTGGTTCAGCCTCGAGCTGCTTGGGCACAGCAACTCAGGGCTCAGGGTCCGGTGCTCCCACACTGGACAGCACTGGTCCAGAAGACCCCTGGGGAAGCCAGTGCAACCCCCCAAAATGAGGCAGGGCGGTTGGGGAGGCCGGTGTGGCAAGACCAACCTGGGACAGCGCCAGCCGCCCTACCACCACCCCAGAGAGGCGAGCACCGTGGAGGGCTCTCAGGTGCACTCCTGCACCCAGATCTGGGCTCCCAGCCCGGGCAACAGCACCCGAGCTCACTAGGCTTCTCACAGGAAGTTCACCTGTGGCTCTGGGCCGAGGCTTCTGAGGATTTCGCCAACTCCACCACCAAAAGCTGGACACAAAACGAGTCGGGTTTTCTTCTAAAACGTTCAGTTCCTCAGACGTCCAGAGACAGCAGACAGGCCTCTGGCAACAGCCTGTCCCGCTCAAGGTCACTGGGCTGCTCTGAAGGACATCCCCCTTGTCCTTGCACAGGAGCCAGGGGACCTCCACAAGACATTTTCTGAGGAATCCTGTGTTGCTCATTCCAAACTGCTCTCTGGTCGAATGAGACTAACTGGGAAAATACCCTCGACACCAGCAGCAGCATGTGGTGAGCGAGGGAAGAGGTGAGAGGCAGAAGGGGGTGCAGGGCTCGTCAGCAGTGATGGAGGGGACTGACTGGGGACGCTGAGCACAACACATGTACAGGTGATGTATGAAGAACTGCACCCCTGAACCTACCTGATTGTATAACCGTGTCACTCCAACAAAGACACTCAACGGTGACTTTCTGCTCCTTTCCTGCACACACCTGTCCTTAGCGTGACCACCAGACTCCCCCTTCCCGGTCTGAGGGTGTCCCCCATCTATTTAAGGGCCCCACACTCATCTGCTGGTGGGATTCAGTCCTCCGGAGCCCAGGCAGGCCCCCTTGGGCCGCTGACAAGTTCTCACTGCTATCCGCCATGTCTGCGGGGCAGGCTCCCTCTGCGGACCCGTGGCCTCAGGTCAAGGTACCCCCCCTCCAAGCCCCCCCCACACACACCCCTTCCCAGCACCACAGATGGCTGTTCCAAAACGTGACAAATTTTACTCGTTTGTTGTTGTTAATACCCTTAAAAAAAGGAATAAGCCTCAAGCGATCACTCCATCAACACGTTAAAAAAATAAGTTTAATGCAGGTGGCTCGTTTCATTAAGAATTCACAGGCACTCGAGACCCCAGGCGACTACTTGTTGGGCGTGTCAACTCCTAGCACTGCCGTGCAGACACCCGCCATCCCGATGGTTGCACACACCTGCCTCAGTCAGGGGACTTCGAAGGGACTGAGCAGCGTGACTTAATTAACACAAAACAAAGCTTGTAGGAAACAGCAAGACTTGTGCAAAAGATGCTTCACAGGGCTGAGGGGTCCCCGAGGGTCAGCTCCTCAGCTCCTTCCTCCGGGAGCCCCCCACTGGCCTCAGGCTGGCCCCCGTCCAGCAGAGCTGGCCACAAACTGAGGGGCACGGTCACAGCTAAGTGCTTTTTGCTTTCTCCACCTGATTTGGGGTTCCTTCCAGTGGCACCTGTCCTGACAGTCCCTCTGGGGCCACTGGCCTCCCTGGCCAGGCAGGGTCAAAGGGGCCACTGCCAGGGAGATAAGGGGGCAACTTGGGGTGAAGCAGCATCGGCCCCATGTCCTGTCCCTTCTCTGCCTGTTGTCCCAGCAGAATTATTCAGAGTGCCCACCCACTGGCCAAGGAAGCCCATGGTGGCCACTGAGCGACATGGCCAGCCTGCCCCCTCGCTGCGAAAGGCCAGAGGAAGGGTGGACAGGAGCTGGCTCTGGAGTGTGTTCTCTGTGACCGAAACAAGTCGCCCAGGACCACCAGCCCTGGTTCTCTCCCGGCCACAGTCCGTGCCGACATTCGTTTGCTCTCTGCTCCCAGCTGCTTGAACTGCCGGCAGGAGCAGAGGGCGGCCTCGCCCTCACCCAGAGATCCAGCCCTGGGCCACCTGAAGCGGAGCCTCAAACACACACCGCCCGAGACCTCCAACATCTGCTCCAGACGCACGTCCCAATTCTGTGTTCTGACCAAAAGCAGCCCCAGAGCCAGAGAGACGGAGGCGTCTCCTCAGAAACCCACGTGTGAAGGGGCTGGCACTCCCCGACCTGCCCAGAAGACGGATCTGCCCGGGGTCAGACCCGTCTCCCAGCTGCCAGGGCCTGACTCCCTGCTGGACGGTGCCTGCACAACAAAGGGACCCTGAGGACTGGCCAGGACTCAGGCCCATGGTGGCCACTGAACATGGCCACCTCTCAGGGAGCCTAGGGGTGGCCCTGTGGCAGTGTGGTGGACGGAGCCTGATGCTTCCCAAGGCCAAGGCCGGGGCTGGGCCAGGGTGAGGCCAGGAAGACCCCCCAGACTGGCTCCTGGGCAGCACACCCCTACACCACCGGGACACCAGTGTCCGGGGGGTGGACGGGGACAGAGAGGCTCTCCAAGCACAGACTGATGGTAACTGCTCCCAAGCACCGCCTGGAAAAGTGTGGGTTGGAACCACGGGGGTGGCTACGGGTCAGTGCCCCGGAACACACACAGGAGGGTCAGTGGATTAGAGGGGGCAGCGTCCGTGCACAGAAATCACAGCCCATTCCTCTCCGGGGCAGAGACCCGGCTACTGGACGCAACGTGAAAGACAAGGCCCTGACCTACCCCGTCAAACAGCGGGTGGCGCAGGCATCGGCCCCGCTGGTCACAGTACCCGAGCTGGCCCAGGCCGCGCGCTCACATGTCCACGAAGACCATGAAGCACCAGCCCAGGCCGCCCACCAGCAGCAGGGTCACGTGGATGCCGTAGACCAGCAGCTCGTTGAGCAGGCGGAAGTCCACGCGCCGGCGGCCCAGCAGCAGCAGCAGCACCGACAGCTTGAGCTGGAAGCGCAGCAGGACGCGCACGCCCAGGTACTGCAGGCAGAAGAGCGCGGCCAGCGCGCCCCACAGCGCGGCGGTGAAGAGGCTGCAGCTGAAGTAGAGCAGGAAGCGGATGAAGCCGTAGAGCCAGCGCGCGCGCACGTACACGTCGAAGTTGTTGTACTTGGTGCGCGCCAGGCGGGAGGTGCGGAGGGGCCCGGAGGCCGCGTGCAGGCAGGTGGTGTGCGGGCCGTGGAAGGAGCGCACCCGCCGCGGGATGGGCATGACCGGCATCGGGGCCTCGGCGCTAGCTGGCGGCAGACGCAGCGTCCAGGCGGTGGTCAGCGTCATGGGCAGCTAGGCCTGCGAGCCCGCAGGGGAGAGCCGTGGGCCTGCAGGGAGCGACACGCAGAGGAGCCGAGTGAGCCCTGGAGCAGCCAGAGAGGGGGGCTGTTCCTGCCAGGGCATCTGCCAGCCTTGGGCGCAGGGAAACCAAGCTCAGGGGGCCAGACCTGCCACAAACGACAATGAGGACACTCCAAAGGGACCCATAAGCACGTGGAAACCAAAGTGCTGATTTGACCAGTGACTGGGGAGGGGGGGTCAGAGTGACAGTTGGGACCCCTGGAAGCCGTCAGCCCTGAACCTGTGGAGGGACAACAGGAACCCTGGCGAAGCCCCCCCTTCCACAGGTTCTGCCGGTCCGTTCCTAGACTCACCCTCTCGCTTTCATCTGGGGGCCGAGCACTGGCTGGACTTGAGCCCCTTTCATGCAGGGGGAATAAAGTCCCTCAGCGGCACCCCACAGGACCAGGAGGAGGGAGGGGTGCCCCAGGCACACACAGACAGTTCACTTCAGCACCCTGACACCCAGGTGCCGGGAGCTAGACAGCTCTGCAAAGTCTAGGAGGTGCGGTGGGAAGTGGGAGCACTGACTAAGGACCCACCATGCCTGGCAGGTGACGGCAACCGCCTGCTGGTGTGTCTGCAGGATGCAGGGCGTGCAGACCAGCCTCAAGGACAGAGAAGCAGTAGTGGCTCCAGGTTACACGGTCCCTGCCTACATCTGTGGATGTGACTGCCATTTGAGGCTGCCTACATCTGTGGATGGAAACAGAGCTGGAAGGGCAGAATGTGCACTGGTTGCCGGGAAGCACCAGGGGCGGCTGCCTGCCATCAGCCCGTGGGGGACTTCCCCAAGTGCCCTCTCGGGCCAGCAGTCACAGCAAATGGCCGCCGAGCTGTCTGGCCGGAGGCCGGAGGCGGAGGAACGGGGAGACCTGCACCCCGCCCCCGCCAGCCCCACAGGCCCAGCCCTTCCCGCAGCGTTTGTCCCGGACCTGGTCTAACAGCAGCTGCCCCGCTCCGGACGGTTCCATCCAGCTACCCCTCGGCCTCGGCTTCGGCCTCGGCCGCCCCCCAGGCCCGGCGATCAAAGCCGGTGCCCGGTCCGGAGGGTCACGCACAGCCGCCCCTGTGGGACCGGCCCACCTCCCGTCTCCACTGGGCCCGCGGGCAAAGCAGCTCCGGGGGGCCCGGAGACGCCCACGCCTCGGGCCTCGGGCCTGGAGGTCGGGGAGGCGACCGAGGCCGCGCGCGGAGCCGCCGCACAACCGCTCCATCCCGCCCACCGCCCTGGGCCCCCTCTTCCGGGCGCTCAGCCGCGCCGGTGACACCGACTCCCAGACCAACGCCTGCCGGACGTGAGCGGCTCTGCCCTCGGGCCGCCGGGGGGCACCGGCGACCGCAAGGGCAGGACCGACGCGCCGGGGCCCCCGGGAGCCGCCCGCGCCCGCCCGTTGCCCTGGAGACGCCGGGCCGCCCGCCGTGCCGCTCACCGGGCGCCCTCTCCGCGCCGGCGTCCCGGCCTGCGGGCCCCGCGGTCCCTCGGGGCTCCCGGCGCAGGGCGGCCGCATGGTGCCCCGCACCGTGGCTGCGGGCCCGACGGCTCACGCGTCCCCTCCCGCCCCGGAGGGCCCGGGCTCCCGCGCCCGGCGGCGATTGGCACCGCGCGGGAGCCGTAGCCGCCCCTCGCGGCCGCCGTAGCGCTGCCCTCTCGCCCTCCGCCCCCTCCACACCGCGCGTGCCTCCGGCCCCCAGCTCGGGGCGGACGTCCGCGGCGCGGGGCGCGCTCCATGACGTTACCAGCGACGTCGCCGCCTCGCGTCAGCCGCTGGCGCAGCTCCCTCCGGCTCGCCGGCCCCGCGCCGCTCCTCTGCGCACGCGCTGCTGCGACCGACGCGCCAGCTGTGCGCAGGCGCCCGCCACAGTGGGCGGGGCTGGGAGCGGCGCTGCCTGAAGGGGCGGGGCCGACGCTGGCTCGCGGTCTGCGCCCCTGGCACCGCGGAACCGAGGCTGGTGGGGGACACCCACACGCTCTGGGGTTTCCCCTCTCCTAGGAGAAAGGATTTTTATGCAGATGTTTGTTTTTTTTTAATATACATTTTTATTGATTTTATAGAGGAAGGAAGATGAGATTCATGGATCGGCTGCCTCCTGCACGCCGGCTCCTGGGGATCGCGCCCACAACCAGGGCATGTGCCCCGACATGGAATCAAATCTTGACCTCCCTGGTTCATAGGTGGACGCTCAACCACTGAGCCACACAGGCCAGGCTCCATAGACGTTTTTAAAAATATATTAACCCCTCCGAGGTGTCAGGAGAGGGAGACACTTCTCCTGGGATGGAAGTCAGCAAGTGACATTCGCCTGAATTCCATCAAGTTCAAAGACGGTGCAAGTCCCACACCCTTGGGAGCTAAGTGCCTGCCTGTCACCTAGCTGAGTCCTCACGCCCAGCCCCTGTCGTGTCAGAAGGACCCGGTGTTGAAGGGTCTGGCAGGGTCGGAGGAGAGGGAGAGAGGAAGGGAAGATCAAGAAGACTGAAGCCCGGAGCAGCTGTGCAGCAGCCACAGGAGACGCTGAGAAAGAAGGAGCCTCCGGCAGGGTTTCTTACAGCGCACCTCTCTGCAGGCTGGGGCTCACCTGCTCTGCACCCCCACTTGCCCGTGGTGGTTTCCTGCCCTCAGCCCCTGCCCAGCCCTCTCCTCTTGAGAAGCCCCAGGCAGCCCCTCCTCAGCCCCCTTGTTCTGGTCCCTGAGCTGCCCCTGCACACTTGCCTTTATTGCAATCACCCGCTCCACCTGCAGAGCTCCTATTCAACTGTCAAAACCTTAATCAAATAACCCTTCCTGGGAAGCCACCTCCCACCCTGTGCCACCCCTTCTGGCCCCCACTACCCCTGGCAGGCAGGATTCTTACTCAGCCTGACTTTCTCCACCCCCAAAGCTGCAAAGAATCCCACTCTCCCAACAGCTGCTCTCTCACCACAGTAAGGTGTGTTTCTGCCACACCATCCAGCCCACACGTGCACGTGTTCAAACAACTCTGGGAGCCCCACAAACAATGCTCTGACCACACGCTGCAGAAGCCAGGATGGCCCCGCCTGCAGCCTGCCCACCGCCCCTCAGGAGGACTCTGGGCAGGACTGTGCCCTTGAACAGGCTCAGGGACAGGGGACGTGCTGTGCTTGGTTGTAGGCTTGCCCTGGTGTGGAGGTCCCCTGCCCCAGGTCAGCACCAGGCCTGCGCAGGCCTCCCTCTGGCTGGGGCCTGGCGCCACCTGCTGGGATAGCATGGGCAGTGCGGCTGAGTTAGAGTGGTGCTCAGAGTCTGGGGATCAGGAGGGCGCCCCAGCTGTCCGCTGCAGAGCTGAGTCTCCCTGACACAGAGACCCAACGGCCTGCAGGTCTGCAAACCTGGTCCTGGTCTTTTAGGGACATGTATTTATTTATTTATTTTTAATATATTTTATTGATTTTTCACAGAGAGGAAGAGAGAGGGGATAGAGAGTTAGAAACATCAATGAGAGAGAATCATCGATCAGCTGCTTCTTGCGCACCCCCTACTGGAGATGTGCCCACAACCAAGGTATATGCCCTTGACCAGAATCGAACCCGGGACCTTTCAGTCCGCAAGCCGACGCTGTATCCACTGAGCCAAACCAGTTTCAGCTCAGGGACGTGTATTGACTGGCCATAAAGGATGTTTATCCTTGCTGTGCCCAGCGCCTCTGTAAGGCCTGCAGACACCTCAAGAATCGGAGATTTCTCCCTTAGTGGCCAGATCCCGAGGCTCCAGGGACCCCATGATTTACTGGGGTGGGGTCACAGGCAGCTGTACAGCATCCACTTCCCTCAGCACCCAGCTGCTGTGCTGGGGGAGGGGGGGCATGAAGAGGCTCCAGTGCTTGGCCTGGCTGAAGCCAGCCTTTGGGTGTTTGGTGCCAGCATCGGGCCTGTGAGTGAAGGAGACCCCAGCTCACACCCTGAGGGTTGTGGGTTCAATTCCCGGTCTAAGAGGTGTACCTGGGTGCAGGCTCGATCCCAGGTCTGGTGGGAGACAACCAATCAAGGTGTCTCACATCGATGTTTCTCTCTCCCCCTCCCTCATGGCCCTTCCACTCTCTCTAAAAATCAATGGAAAAAACGCCCTGGGGTGAGGATTCGCAAACATTAAAAAAAAAAAAAAAAGGAGGCCCAGGCTTTGGAGAGCAACGGGCACAGCCTGGCATCTCCAAGTGACGTCCATGGCATTGACCACCCAGTTTCCATCTCGGACCCACACACAGCCTGTGCTCAGGGCGAGAGGCCAGGCACTGGGCAGCAGACCTGAGCGACACCGGGGGCTGTGCAGGGCAGCCGGGTTAGTGCTCGCAGTTCATAGTTTGCCCCCATTTCGGAAGTATGCCCCTCATCCGCCCCCAAGCTTCCCCTGGCGAAGCATGCAGCCTTCTCTGTGCGGGCAGAGCGGCCCCGCCTGGCACAGGCACAGGAGGAGGCCACACCGCCGGCCTCGTAGCGGGTCTGCCCTCCTCCCAGGCCGCAGGCCCCTAGTTATCCTGAGACCCAGACCCAGGCCATGAGGGGCCATGGGAGGCTTCCTTCGAGGTTGGCGCCCACTGCCCGGTCTGTGCTACCGTCACAGAACACACACTCCTCTGCCGTCCCCCGGGACTGGGCAGTGCTGGGCGGACGGGAGGGCAGCTCTGTGGCCGAGCTGTCGCCCGGCGTGGCGATCTGTCAGCTCCCAGGAACCTGGCATATATAGTTTACCGCAGGCTCGGAAGACAGACATACCCGTTTATATGTCGCTTGTTGCCATAACCCTGCGAACCTGTTCTCCTTTCAAAACTTTCAATGGAGTGTACACATTGCAAGAGAGTTAAGGGGTAAACGCAATGGCTCAAAATGTTACTTTTAACATCTTTGTCACTTTGATAACGGCACCAAAAAAAAAAAAAAAAAAAAATCCGCAAGACATTACCCTCAGAAATCAATTATAAATAGATGC